CTGACATTTTCACGAAACCATTGCCAGGACCTCGCCATCGGGAGTGTACGGTGATGTTAAATCTCGTTTAAAGTTTCGAGCTATGTTAGTGTAGTGAGTTCGAATGTGAGGGGAAGTGTTAGAGTAGTCCTTGTGTGCGCGCTTGCGTGTGACACTTATCGAACTGAGTATGAGTGCGTGTAGCGTGCGTCGGTAGTCGACTAGTCGTAGTCTATCCTAGTTATGTAACGTAGGTTCATTAAACGTATTACCCGTGGCTCGTTATCTTGATCACTTGATCCGATCCTCTAACATTTGAGTAGTACACCGTTTATTAATTATATTAGTGGGGCGTATCGAACTCGATTTAACACAGTAACGCACCGCACAGCATGAAGAAAAATAGAGCAAAATTGTAGGTAATGCATAATGTGGAGAGTGAATATTGATGTGTCAACAGCAGCTATGACAAAATGTTTTCGGTTTTTAAATTTCTATTATATACAACTGGCGCAGGAGCTGACTAAATGTATCTCGGTAAAGTTTTTCATTTCCTACGTCACTATACGATCCTTCTATCAAAGTTTAGAGCTTTTATTTAGATAAAAATATATGAGAATGGTTTATCTACCTGAATATGGTTCCGAACAGCAAGGATAATATTCCTCATTTCTCGTTGCTGGAACGGCCAATAAATCCCATTCTACGGAAAGATAAAATTCGGATAAGTCTATTCCCACTTTTACTATATTTGATCCTGGCACTTGATCCATATGCTTGAGGTCAACCTGAATAGAAAACACACAGATTTTTTTATGTTGTAATAAAAAAGATGACAACGAATAAGAAAATTTGTAAGTACGATATTGGGTTTTCCATTTTGTTTGTTTGACATAAAATATACGGTCTTACAAGAGTAGGTAATTTGACTTTTCTCACTCCGATAACTTTTTTCCTTTCACGTTCACTTTTATAACTCTATGTGGCTTAGCAATATAATAAACGAAAGCTAATAAAGGGGTTATATACTTTCTTTATTATTTTACGACGTATTAAGGGTGAGGAATGTCTGGGGAGGAGGTATTTTTATCCGATAAAAGCAGTAATTTCGCTTTTTATGAACTTAATCATTTTCCTGAAATCACGGAGTTATTGTTACAAAGAAATAGAAGAATTAAAGGAAAACACGGTGACTATAGGTATGTATATAAATTATGTGGCTTTGGGTTATGAAAAATTGAAGGTTTCAAGGAGAAGTGGTCCAGAAGCAGAACTGTCGATTTGCATTAGTGTATAGGTAGGTACTACACGCAATTTCACATTTAATATAATCTCATAATAATTCCGTCATTGCATATTAATGTTACATCTGAATGAGGAATAAGCTTGTTTGTGTGATACGTCGAACCCTCATCAAGCAAACTAAACAAGAGCAAAACAGAAACCAGGCATCTCAAGATAAATTGGTGACAAGTTTAATCTTTAAGTGTTGCATTTCGTAATCTGGGCGAATTTCGTGTGAAAATTTAATGTCGAAACTTAAATATTCCGACCGCATGATTTCCAAAACGTCAAACTAAGCGTGAGAATGGTGAAATCAAAATAGAGATTCGGCTATAATTTATAGTGAAAATGTCCAATTAACACAAAAATCAAAAAAACTTCTGTGAACCACATTTAGGTACATTTAACTTTCTGCGTTTTAGATTTAAAAATTATTACTAACACCCTTGGTTTTATTTTTATCGCATCTTTCTCACAACCAATAGAGCAAATATCTCAGTGTACATTTTATGAGTCTGTTCGAGGTTCAACACTGAGGGACGTAGAAAATTTTGTTAGAAAGTCCCCTTGTCTGTGCTGCGAAGGTGCGTTCCATTTTCGTTACAACGCAAATTCAAATTCAAATTACTTTATTCGCCCAGTCGATTACAATTTTGTAATATAATATAAGACATGTCAAACAATTAAACCCTAACCCTATATCTGAATGAGAAGGTATAAAATCAACATTTTTTCTTCCTTTGTGGATATTTCAGCATTTACCAATAATATTGAACTCAAAATATCTCAAAATAAAGTTTTGACGGCCATTTGTTAACAGACTCAAATTATCTGTAGAAAATGTTATGTTGTCCATCCTAAATAAAACAAAATAAAATACATCACAGGGCTGAATGTCTTGTTAATTATCACTTAACATATTTACCTGATATCCGTTATAGGTCCAGGATCCAAACTTCATCAAACAGCTCTGTTCGTCAAAAGGAAAATATTGCACATTGATTTCGCACGATGATTTATAAATAGAGGGTGGTTTCCACACCACTTCCCCTGTGTATGATAAAACAGCTTTAGTCATAAGCGTAACTTCGTAATTTCCATCAGCGCTGTAAAGAAAATTGTAATGTTATGATAGTAAGTAAGCTGTGGTTATAATGTAGGTAATTACCTACTTCTGCGGTAGATTGTATAGCACACAACTTTTGGCGCACTCAGTAAAAGTAACTTACTTGTTGAAAAGAACGATATCTGGAAGCCAAATGTGTTCGGATGGAACGTAGAGTTGCTCCACGCCCCCGTACTCTTCTGGGTCCCACCTTAATTTGTAATCTACCCATTTCTGAAAGAGGTAAAGGAACATTACATCGTAATAGCACTGATCTTTGGACATGTATAAATTAAAAAATCCAATAGTGAAGAATTTAGACCGGGAGGCAGCGTACATACTAACTGAACCATGAACTAACTTAATATTCGCCAACGCAGGCTGAAAGTACGTTGAAAACTAGTAATCAAGTCCCCGTCTCTAGCCGTAAGTGGCAGCATTAATTTGGGGCGGTGCTGAATGTGTGTCTTCTTTAGGTGATCAACTAAATTACTAAACTATAAGGGTCACGGAAACATTTATATCAAGTAACACCATTTTTCCAATAGTTTTCGAATATGCTATGGCAGCGATTTCAAGTGCAGCGTTGGTGGCGACAGACGCCCTTCAATGTAGGGAAAAACACTCGTGAACTAAACCATGAGGACCGTATAACAATTATACATAAAAAAGTTCCTCTTTTTGTCACTACTTAAAATGTATCCTGGCAGACGATATTTTAAGTGTAGCTTTAACAGTGGCAGAAATTTAGGTATAGTAAATCCCAGCGAGTGCGAGCGTGTGAGAGATAAGTGCACGGGAGCATAACGAACAGAGATAGCGATAGGATACTGACTACTGAGATCCTTCAAACCATTTGATTCTAAACTTCTCATTCACATAGTTCCACTCACTTCAATCAGACGGATTGTAGAAGGTCAGACATTTTTCGGTGGCATTCACCCAAATTGCCATGAACTAAACCATGAGGACCATTTCCACTTTGGCCTATTAGAGTATGCTAAAATCGATCGTCTGCCGCCTCAGATCATATGACGGTACTTCTTGCGGTGCCAATTTTAAATGATTGTTTTTTGAGAAAATAAGTTATACCTACACCAAATGAAAACGATGATAATAGCTCTTAAAAAATATTTTTAAAAATCGCGAACTTTTGATAACTTCGTAAAAAAACAATTCTTAGTGGGTTTTTCACGAACTGCCTACAGATATAACTAGGTTACGGTTGGATGAATGAAACTGATTTTTACAGACTAATGGTAGGTACTGCCAATGACTTGACGGTGTTTCTTTTTTCAATTTTTTCTCTAATTATAAGATTATCTTATTACCTTATCATTAGAGAAAACATTTAAACAAGTTAAAAAGTAATCGTAAACGATTTACATAAAGCGCATTTCCACTTGCATTCATTAATTAATTATTTAATTTATGTGTCCCCTTCTCTTTAATCATCTAGCATGAAGGTACACTGCCTTATAACCGAACTGTTTACTAAGCTATTACGGTTTTTAAAAAATGCGTTTTATCTGCACAAGATTTGTGCCAATTTATGCTTGTTATTTGAATGTATGCATGTTTTGTTGAATGAAAAAACTGTTCGGCATTGTTCTTAAATCACAGAGTGTACACACCAAATTTCTGGAAGGTCTAATCATTCTTTCCCACTTAGAATTACAGTTGGAATTTCTGTCTCACTTTTTAAAAGGTACATATTGTCATTAATGCCATCTTATTTATTATGGTTACTGGGAAAAAATTTAAAAAGAAACACATTTTGGGACTTGGAAAATGAAAAATGTGTCCAATAGGTATTTTCGCACGATTAGAGCGTTGTGTGCGGGTGCACCATCCTGTTGAAACCAACAGTTTCCAACTATTGATTTTTTTGTGCCGTACCTATATATGTATTCGTAATTGTTTTGGTTCATTTCTTTCTTCTACAATGGACATCCCAAGGACAGTGTTTCTTTTTAGCGCATTTCCACAAAAATAAAAAAATGCGCTATTGTGGCCACGCATTTTTTAAAAACCGTAATAGCTTAGTAAACAGTTCGGTTATAAGGCAGTGTACCTTCATGCTAGATGATTAAAGAGAAGGGGACACATAAATTAAATAATTAATTAATTAATGCAAGTGGAAATGCGCTTTATGTAAATCGTTTACGATTACTTTTTAACTTGTTTAAATGTTTTCTCTAATGATAAGGTAATAAGATAATCTTATAATTAGAGAAAAAATTGAAAAAAGAAACACCGTCAAGTCATTGGCAGTACCTACCATTAGTCTGTAAAAATCAGTTTCATTCATCCAACCGTAACCTAGTTATATCTGTAGGCAGTTCGTGAAAAACCCACTAAGAATTGTTTTTTTACGAAGTTATCAAAAGTTCGCGATTTTTAAAAATATTTTTTAAGAGCTATTATCATCGTTTTCATTTGGTGTAGGTATAACTTATTTTCTCAAAAAACAATCATTTAAAATTGGCACCGCAAGAAGTACCGTCATATGATCTGAGGCGGCAGACGATCGATTTTAGCATACTCTAATAGGCCAAAGTGGAAATGGTCCTCATGGTTTAGTTCATGGCAATTTGGGTGAATGCCACCGAAAAATGTCTGACCTTCTACAATCCGTCTGATTGAAGTGAGTGGAACTATGTGAATGAGAAGTTTAGAATCAAATGGTTTGAAGGATCTCAGTAGTCAGTATCCTATCGCTATCTCTGTTCGTTATGCTCCCGTGCACTTATCTCTCACACGCTCGCACTCGCTGGGATTTACTATACCTAAATTTCTGCCACTGTTAAAGCTACACTTAAAATATCGTCTGCCAGGATACATTTTAAGTAGTGACAAAAAGAGGAACTTTTTTATGTATAATTGTTATACGGTCCTCATGGTTTAGTTCACGAGTGTTTTTCCCTACATTGAAGGGCGTCTGTCGCCACCAACGCTGCACTTGAAATCGCTGCCATAGCATATTCGAAAACTATTGGAAAAATGGTGTTACTTGATATAAATGTTTCCGTGACCCTTATAGTTTAGTAATTTAGTTGATCACCTAAAGAAGACACACATTCAGCACCGCCCCAAATTAATGCTGCCACTTACGGCTAGAGACGGGGACTTGATTACTAGTTTTCAACGTACTTTCAGCCTGCGTTGGCGAATATTAAGTTAGTTCATGGTTCAGTTAGTATGTACGCTGCCTCCCGGTCTAAATTCTTCACTATTGGATTTTTTAATTTATACATGTCCAAAGATCAGTGCTATTACGATGTAATGTTCCTTTACCTCTTTCAGAAATGGGTAGATTACAAATTAAGGTGGGACCCAGAAGAGTACGGGGGCGTGGAGCAACTCTACGTTCCATCCGAACACATTTGGCTTCCAGATATCGTTCTTTTCAACAAGTAAGTTACTTTTACTGAGTGCGCCAAAAGTTGTGTGCTATACAATCTACCGCAGAAGTAGGTAATTACCTACATTATAACCACAGCTTACTTACTATCATAACATTACAATTTTCTTTACAGCGCTGATGGAAATTACGAAGTTACGCTTATGACTAAAGCTGTTTTATCATACACAGGGGAAGTGGTGTGGAAACCACCCTCTATTTATAAATCATCGTGCGAAATCAATGTGCAATATTTTCCTTTTGACGAACAGAGCTGTTTGATGAAGTTTGGATCCTGGACCTATAACGGATATCAGGTAAATATGTTAAGTGATAATTAACAAGACATTCAGCCCTGTGATGTATTTTATTTTGTTTTATTTAGGATGGACAACATAACATTTTCTACAGATAATTTGAGTCTGTTAACAAATGGCCGTCAAAACTTTATTTTGAGATATTTTGAGTTCAATATTATTGGTAAATGCTGAAATATCCACAAAGGAAGAAAAAATGTTGATTTTATACCTTCTCATTCAGATATAGGGTTAGGGTTTAATTGTTTGACATGTCTTATATTATATTACAAAATTGTAATCGACTGGGCGAATAAAGTAATTTGAATTTGAATTTGCGTTGTAACGAAAATGGAACGCACCTTCGCAGCACAGACAAGGGGACTTTCTAACAAAATTTTCTACGTCCCTCAGTGTTGAACCTCGAACAGACTCATAAAATGTACACTGAGATATTTGCTCTATTGGTTGTGAGAAAGATGCGATAAAAATAAAACCAAGGGTGTTAGTAATAATTTTTAAATCTAAAACGCAGAAAGTTAAATGTACCTAAATGTGGTTCACAGAAGTTTTTTTGATTTTTGTGTTAATTGGACATTTTCACTATAAATTATAGCCGAATCTCTATTTTGATTTCACCATTCTCACGCTTAGTTTGACGTTTTGGAAATCATGCGGTCGGAATATTTAAGTTTCGACATTAAATTTTCACACGAAATTCGCCCAGATTACGAAATGCAACACTTAAAGATTAAACTTGTCACCAATTTATCTTGAGATGCCTGGTTTCTGTTTTGCTCTTGTTTAGTTTGCTTGATGAGGGTTCGACGTATCACACAAACAAGCTTATTCCTCATTCAGATGTAACATTAATATGCAATGACGGAATTATTATGAGATTATATTAAATGTGAAATTGCGTGTAGTACCTACCTATACACTAATGCAAATCGACAGTTCTGCTTCTGGACCACTTCTCCTTGAAACCTTCAATTTTTCATAACCCAAAGCCACATAATTTATATACCTACCTATAGTCACCGTGTTTTCCTTTAATTCTTCTATTTCTTTGTAACAATAACTCCGTGATTTCAGGAAAATGATTAAGTTCATAAAAAGCGAAATTACTGCTTTTATCGGATAAAAATACCTCCTCCCCAGACATTCCTCACCCTTAATACGTCGTAAAATAATAAAGAAAGTATATAACCCCTTTATTAGCTTTCGTTTATTATATTGCTAAGCCACATAGAGTTATAAAAGTGAACGTGAAAGGAAAAAAGTTATCGGAGTGAGAAAAGTCAAATTACCTACTCTTGTAAGACCGTATATTTTATGTCAAACAAACAAAATGGAAAACCCAATATCGTACTTACAAATTTTCTTATTCGTTGTCATCTTTTTTATTACAACATAAAAAAATCTGTGTGTTTTCTATTCAGGTTGACCTCAAGCATATGGATCAAGTGCCAGGATCAAATATAGTAAAAGTGGGAATAGACTTATCCGAATTTTATCTTTCCGTAGAATGGGATTTATTGGCCGTTCCAGCAACGAGAAATGAGGAATATTATCCTTGCTGTTCGGAACCATATTCAGGTAGATAAACCATTCTCATATATTTTTATCTAAATAAAAGCTCTAAACTTTGATAGAAGGATCGTATAGTGACGTAGGAAATGAAAAACTTTACCGAGATACATTTAGTCAGCTCCTGCGCCAGTTGTATATAATAGAAATTTAAAAACCGAAAACATTTTGTCATAGCTGCTGTTGACACATCAATATTCACTCTCCACATTATGCATTACCTACAATTTTGCTCTATTTTTCTTCATGCTGTGCGGTGCGTTACTGTGTTAAATCGAGTTCGATACGCCCCACTAATATAATTAATAAACGGTGTACTACTCAAACCAGTATCTCTAGTATTTTTTTCATTGATATGCTTGAACAAAATTCGTTCGTCCATTTTTAATCAGTTTACTATATAAATCAGGAAAAGTTAGCAAAAGGGCTTGAAGACATCAAATTTGTATTGAAGAGGGACTAAGTTCAAATTTACTCCCCACCCATCCCCTTGATAAATTTATGTGGCAGGATAGGTCGTTGATGCAAAGCTAATTCAATTCCCGAATAAAATACAATATTAATTAATAATATACTTGTCATTTTTATTAGAGATGCGCGCACTGGTTGTCGCAAAATCACTTATACCAAATAAACTACAAGATTTCGCAATTGATCCTTGTATTTCGTATTAACATGATTCAAGGATTAACATAGGCTAGTTAAAGGTCTAGTTCTAACTTCTAACCCGTCGTAATACAGGAGCATATTGTAAACAGTAACTCTGCGAGACAAAGACGTTCAAACCTCTTTTAGGGAGACCAATCTTACAACAAAGTGATATAGTGGGATTTTCCTTAGTTTGCGCACATGTCATAGGTATATTATGACGTTATCACTAAGTATGTTTACATAGCATCATGCAATCAATGATACCCATTACATCAACGACTTCTATCGACCAATTACTAAAAACATGTTTCGGTAGTTATTTCTAACAGGCTGTCTATTTCGTGATCTTTCACTAACGAGGTGGACATTACTATTTGGACGTAAAGGAAAAATAAAAAAAAATTATTTTAATTGTTTTTTCGTAATAACAACACCCACACTACTTGAGAAGCGACTGCAATCTTGAGTTATCCCATACTCACGAGCAGAGTCACCGTTACTTTCATACCAAAACGGCAGACGTTTCTGCGGCACTTTCGAAACTGTGTAGCAGTCAGTGTTAAAATTGGGGTTTTATATACACAAATGGAAAAGGAAATTGAACCAAAAGTCGCATTTTGTGCGTAAGACGAGAACATATAAAATATATTGCGGACACAACCAGGCGTTGTTGGGTAAACCCTCAGGACAAAAGTCCACACGAACTAAATTAACAAAGACAATAAAAGCAAAATAAAATCCACAAAACATTCCAAATTGTGTGACAATAAAAATCAGGTCACGAATTTCAAGATTTTAGGTACGTTTTATTCTAGGTTTTATTTTTTTCAAAAACATCAACGTGCATCCTTCCAGTTGGTTGGTCCTATTTTCGTCCTGGTAAAAATCGAACCTCAACCTTTTTGCCGAAGACGCGTTCGTTTCGGATCTCTCCATGAATTATAAAACACTGCAGGGGCCTTTCTTAAGCCATTCGACAATGGGGCAAGCTACGACCCAGGTAATTGTTTATAAATACCTTGATTGTTTATGCACTAGGAGTTCTCGATGTGCTTTCGTGGATGATTCAATGCGAAGTGGTCTGGATCTGCCACCAGAACTTGGATGTAGTTGCACGCGCACGGTCTGACCAAAATTTAAGCGTGGCTTCTCGTTGATCCGATGTGGGAATGAAATTGACTTCCTAGGTGGGCACGGCGCGTAGCTCTTTAATCGGCTTTTGTAAATTTTACTTCCATACTGAATAGATGTATTTAAACGAACTCTCCTTGCGATTAGTTTATCCTAATGACTCATTCCGAATATACATACGTAAAGCAGTATTTATGATCCTATTCTATAACACGTGAAATAAAATTGCATTTCTAGCCGCGCTGTTACTTTATATTGCTAATTCCCTTTTAGCTTCCTCACGGTTAAATAACATCTCAATTCTGGTCATGATAAATAAAACTATTATAACTTCCTTTCAATGCTAAGACACAGACATTCTTACTTTACCACCTTAAATATAGCCTATGAATCCTTATCATTTTAAAAATCCCTATACAAATTTCCGTGCATACTGATAGAAGATATGACCAGACGAGGCGAAGAGATATACCCAACAGTAAAATACCGATCATCCGCACCGAGTTGACAGTCCCGACATGTCACGGGCATGAGGGGCATTATTTTCTCAAGAACATAAAGGGGTTTACGGTGTTGTAGTTCATACCAGGCGCATATTAGATTATTACTGGTCTTGTGTATTAACAAATGTGTCTTAAAATTGGGATTGGTAACAAAATCACACCGGTCACATTTTAAATCATTGGCAGGGCCATGTCTTCACAATTGTTAGATCTTAAGATGTGCTTTGAGACTGAGTTTATGTTTGGTGGCGAAAGCGCACTGGAACAGTTTAAATCTTTGTTTATCTTGTATGTTAATAAATGTGTTTTATAATTAGATTTATCATTGGTTGCATAGTTACACTGGACACATTTGAAATTCTTGGTAGTCTCGTGTGTTAAAATACTGTTGCGGGTATGCGGTGTTCTACTTGTTCTACTACAGTGCAATGTAGGTATATCTCTGTGGTAAATATGTTGGCGCAGATGCTGCTTATTGAAAAAGGGAGACTATATCTATGTATACACTGTGTCCAAGATAAGGATGTCTACCATGGGGATCTCCGCAACCATAGAAAATACGACGATGGTGAAATTAGGGAAAAGTTGCGCAATTACACAATTGCACTGTGTATATGTGTACCTGTACTCTATAACGTGCAATAAAGGGGATATGACCTTGGTAGTCGAACCCTATATTTAAAAATTAGAACAATTAGAAAACCAAAAAATTCCGATTACGTCCGAAGATATGCCAGAAAATCGAAAGTTTCTGGGTTTTTTTAATGCTATTTGAAGAGATACCAAAAGAATAGAAAACCGTTTTTGAGCCACATATACAAGACACCGATGGGAGATTTTCAATTTCGCAGAAATCATCAACTTTATTCTTTTATATGGACCGTAGAAAAAATACATACTGTATTGAAGAACATTTTTTATTACGAATTCAACGATATGTGTTACACACAAGAAAAACGAAAGTTGGAAACTGTAGGTTTCAACAGTATGGTGCACACGCGCATAACGCTCTAATCGTGCCAGAATAATCCGACAAATGTCCTAGAAAATGAAAAAGTTATCCCATAGGTATGCTTGCACGATTAGAGAGTTGTGCGTGAGTGTACAATTGTACAGAATTTTGCTTTTCGGGAAATCGGTACACGAAGAAAGATTGTTTTTAAATAAGACCTAATATACCTAATTTTATCGCCCAGTTACATCCAGGGGCGGACTGGGTACTTACGGGTCAGGTGGAATTGCAAAGGTTACGGGCCATTAAAGTATTAGTGTAATGAAAATAGGGGGGGGGGGGGAGCTCTACGGTGCACACAAAAATATTTTTTGCATCATTTTAAAGTACTTATTCCTTTCTCGAAAATCAATTAGAATATAGTTTTTTTTTAATTGCAGCTGATAATTAAAAATAACAAAATATACATAATCCAAACGAGGCGCGTCGCCTATAATTATGTTCCAGCACTTTCAAAATACGACAAAAAATGATAAATTCATTGGAAAACACTTAAATAAAAACAGAATTTTTTAATGAACAACATATAACATCAACTCCAATGAGAGAAGCGTGTTAATAATTTATTAATAGTGCAAGAAACTAAATACAGCACATACTTATAAATTTCCAATGGGTCATTATGACCTACAGGCCAGGTGGCAATCGCCACACGCCCCCCCCCCCCCGGGCCAGTCCGCATCTACAAAATATAATACTGGAAAGCAGGAGAAGGATTTCGTCTTAATAAACACGGATCATTGAACAAACAGAATCCAAACAAAAGCCCCTTTAATAAAACCATGTAAGTAGTAAGTACACATATACCGATTCCCTCGGCACCTATGATGTAATTCAAATTAATTATCTAAGTGTACCTAATGTAATATTATAGGTATATCTGAATTATACGTGTGAATTATATGTGACAGTAGGTACAATAAATGAGGCGGTGGTGGCACATAACAAAATTAGATCTATGTCTATGAACAACAAAGAAGTGATCTATCTCACGGTCTATTTGTTGATTCACTCAGTAAGTTTGAAATAGAAGTTATAAGTGAAATATAGCAAGCGTTTGTTCAGGACCGAAATTTCTATTATGGCTAACATTAGCACATACGGTTGCAGAAACTTTGTAATTATACCTGATGTATTTGTTGCAGATATTACATTCAAAATAACAATGAGAAGGAAAACCCTGTTTTATACGGTGAATTTAATCATTCCATGCGTTGGGATAACATTCCTAACGGTGTTAGTATTTTACCTACCGTCGGACTCTGGAGAGAAGGTGACGCTTTGCGTTTCAATTTTGATATCGCTTACCGTATTTTTTCTTCTGCTCGCCGAAATTATACCTCCGACGTCTTTGGCAGTGCCGCTTCTTGGCAAATACCTGCTTTATACCATGATTATCGTGACATCTTCTATATGGGTGACGGTCTGCGTGCTAAATGTTCATTTTAGGTAAGTAATCATAATCACGAATACCCACGGCAGGAAATTATATTAGATTTCCTGCAGACTATGTTTTTAAATCATAAAGACGATCGAATTCATTCGTAATGTGATGAAAATATGCTTATAATAACCAGTTTAATGGATGGATAGCCTTCATGTTTGCGATTTAATTAATACTATTTTCACTTTATATTCAAACGAGCTCTAACAAATTACTTTTAACGGCAGATTGCGTGATTCTGTTTTATTTATTCTGCTATGAAGAATTGATTTTATAATTGTAGATAGATAATGGGTGGAGGAGTTACTTGATTTTAGTTGAATTTGTAGGATGATCATTTATTTGGAGGGAACAATAACCAAGTACTTAAAAATTATAGTAATTTTAATTGAATTTTAGGACGTACCTACAAAATATATACAGGGTGTCCCTAAAAGGTCTGTACAATGCGTTACCAGGGGTTCTTGGTATCAAAATAGGACGATTTAACCCAACTTACCTCTATCCAAAAGTGCCTCGGTAAGGCGCTATCTACCGCCAAAGATTTAAAAAAAAAATCGTTATTTTTATTTTATCGGAAAATGGTTTTGCCGATTAAAATGAAATTCGGGATGTGAATGTCTAATGTAAAAAGGGTCTTTGTGATATCATCGTTTTGATTGTAGTTGCTATGTAGGTGGTAAAATACTGACCATCCACATCTGAAGAGGTCTAAAACTTTTTAACTACTATTTTGACGGTTCTGAATTTTTAGACACTGATAGACAGTTTACTTGCAAGCATTTTTTGTCTCTTGATGAATATCGCTATCTGTGATGGTTTACGAAAAAAAAAAAATTTAGGCATGATGAATGGCATGCACCATACATGCGATTGTTCCTAAAAAAATCAGAAGATGGCTGTGAAACCTTAGAGTGGCGTAACGTTTGTTTGTTGTTTCTTAAACTTGAACAATTTACGTTTTGCTTGAAGACTTAAAATTTCATTGTTAAAATTGTAATATGGCCTTTAAATACAGTAACGCAGAGTTAACTGATATGCTATTAGTGTTTGGATACTGTCGTGGAAATGGTCGCCAATGCGTTAGGGAGTATACTCACAGGTTTCCAAATCGTCATAGCCTACTTCTTGCTTGCACTTATGGTTTTTGAGGAACAATCGCATGTATGGTGCATGCCATTCATCATGCCTAAATTTTTTTATTTTTCGTAAACCATCACAGATAGCGATATTCATCAAGAGACAAAAAATGCTTGCAAGTACAATCAAAACGGTGATATCACAAAGACCCTTTTTACATTAGACATTCACATCCCGAATTTCATTTTAATCGGCAAAACCATTTTCCGATAAAATAAAAATAACGATTTTTTTTTAAATCTTTGGCGGTAGATAGCGCCTTACCGAAGCACTTTTGGATAGAGGTAAGTTGGGTTAAATCGTCCTATTTTGATACCAAGAACCCATGGTAGCGCGTTGTACAGACCTTTTAGGGACACCCTGTATAAGAATATGGGTGGGAACTTAAATCTGAGGGGTATAATATAATTAACCCCATTCTGACAACCAGATACCCGCACTTTCATAAAATATAACTGCAATTTGTTTTAGTTCGTCTAAAACAGGTTGTTTGTATTATATTTTTAATTTCCAAATCCAAAAATGTCTACAGAGCAATAACAATAATTACTTTTTGGATGTAAAACGTGGCGGTGTTCCTTGCAAAAAAATTAAGTGGCATGCTTGCTCAATTGTATGATTGTAGTGGAAAAGTGTCTGTTAATAAATACACTTCACATGACACACAAAAAGATGATCATAGCACAGCGATGAACACCTCTATAAGTTATTAAATTTATTACTTATTGAGAAAAATCAAAATAAATCATTTTCAGAAGATTCAGTTCGAGCATGCACAAGAAGATGTCTACTTACGCGAGTTGAAGTGAATAAAAGCATTGCTTGAAAGAGGGGCGTGCAACGTCATACATTTTTTCTCCTTGTGCCTTTAATTATAAAGATATATTCAAACTATACCCCTCGTTGGATTCGATAAGTTCCGCTATAATTTTTATTAAAAATTTTTTTTAAATTCTGATGTGTCTAAGAGCAATGGCCTCATAAACGATATTTTAAAAAGTTACATTTTGTAAAACACTGTTTAAGCGAATGGCTAACGATTATGTGTGCGTTCTTGCCGTATATGCAATGTAAAATGCGCGGAGAAAAATCCTTATATTTTCATTCCCATTAGAGCTAACGACCAACAAAACGCACCGTTGTAAAGATAATTAAAAAATAGGGATTTTTGAAAAATTCCATTTTTTCCTTTTTTGGGCCGTTTGGACATCGGTATCAACATACGAATTTAGGGGGTTAGTTAGGCCAAACACTACAGAAAAACATCATTAGATGCTTTTTACCTTTCAAAGCTTGACGGGGGAACGAATTGGGCTATCAGAAAACTCTACTACTAGACAATTTTCGTCAAGCATTACGTCAGGCACTCAGTCGAAACCATGGCGATGGCATCCGTCGAACCAAGCCTCCTGAAAAGGCGCGGAGCGTGAGTTCGTTGGATTATTAATTGATGTATATCGCTTTTGTACGGAATTGTGTAAAGTGAAGAACAATAGTTATTTGTACAACTAGTTTTGAAAGTGAGAGGACCACTGGTGCACGTGCATTTCAGGTCTTCTAAATCTGACTTGCAGGAATCACTTCATTCTTTCGAGTAGTACGTCAGGTAGTACTAACCCCAGTAGGTAGTCAAAAGTTTCTTGGTCTATTCTCAAAAAGCTCCCGTAATCTTCTGGTTCTGTATCACGCAGAAAATTGAGTAGGTAGGTGTTCATGAGGGAACCGGTTTCACATTGTGTACCACTACTTGGACCACCGTCGTTTTTCCTTTTATTTTTTTTTCCGCTTGGGGACAACCAGTGTTAAGGCGAGGAAGCCAAAATCTGCTTTCGAAACCATATTGTTCACCACCAAAATCAAACCAACAACCATTTTTTTCAGGATTAATTTCCAAGAAGAGTCACCAACTCCTATTTTGTTTGAAAATATTACGTATTGAAGGTGATAGGTGATCATGTACGAATGTATGAAATGTAATGAAATTAATCTAATCGTACATCACATCCAACGTCATACATATTACTTTGTGAGTCAAAACAAGATCGTATTGCCACTTACCAGTCGTATCTATCTAGCTCCTGATGGTGGTGAACTATAGTCTTGATTCTACCAATATGAAGGCGCACACAAAAAGTGTCTGCTTACGGGCTATACGGCACCGACTGACTATAAGAGCTTGTAACCGCTGAAATGTGCACAGAAGATTCTTGTCACCGAACATCGAAGGCAAGGTAACCTCTAAAGCTAAACTATTTCCAGTAGATACGGGAGCGCCCCAGGGCTCTGTTCTGGGACTCATAGTCTTTCTACTGTAAATTAATGACAGAAAATCATTTGAATCCAAATATTAAATGTATTTTATATCCTGACGACACATCGCTTCTTATTTCTGAAACAAATAGCAAAGAACTCCAAGATAAATGTAACAATTCCCTTATACTCCTACACAAATTGTTCTCAACAAATCGTCTCTGTCTAAATTTAGCAAAAAGGTGTTTCCTACGATTCCATAACCAACAAAATAACAAGTTAAAAAGTACAGACCCACAGACAGACGACAGACAGCAATACAAAATTATAAACGATCTCTAGGATCGTTAATAAACGGCAAAAGTGTAAAATGATGGAACATGTAAAAAAGCGGTTTTTTGGTTTTGGTTTGTTCCAAGCGCCTATGTATCAAGTTTCATTTAAATGCTTCTATAAATAAAATAAGTTGGCACTGCGCATGCGCAAAACCAAATTTTGAAACTGGCGTTAGATTTTCATTTATTCCAAGTGCCTATGTATCAAATTTCATTCCAATACTTTTATAAATAAAAAAGTTTGCAATTCGGTTTATAAATGGTCGAGATGCGAAAAGGGCACTGTGAATTTTGAATCGATTCGACTCAACTTTGGGCATTGCGTATTATATGGCTAAAGCTATGCCCATATTGAATTTCATGCAATTCAGTTAATAACTAACGGAGATGTAAAAGCGATCGGACATTATCTAAACAAAGTTATCGTTCACACGGACAGATAGAGGGACAGACAGACAAAGGAACAGACGGACAGACCAACAGACAGACGACAGACAGCAATACAAAATTATAAACGATCTCTAGGATCGTTAATAAACGGCAAAAGTGTAAAATGATGGAACATGTAAAAAAGCGGTTTTTTGGTTTTTTACAATAACTTTTTTAGCAATAAACGCAAAAAAATTCCTTCCTTGGTGCAAGCCTCGACACCACAACGAACCAAATAGCGAAAAAAGTAGAACAATAGCTCTTAAGAGAAAGGACTAGTAGCGTCTCAACGAACGAACGGACGAACGGACAAAGTGGCCACAATAGCGCATTTGTTTTATGGAAATGCGCTAAAAATAACTTAGATTTGAATATCAAAATAAGCGATGAACTCTTGAATAGGGAAAGCAAAACAAAGGTTCTAGGTCGAGGTATATGTGGACGAATGTTTAAAACTCAGTAGCCTAGGCAGTGCTAACTACACAGCACGGCAGCAATTAATTAATGACTATCACGCATTGGTAGCTTCACCTCTAAGGTATGGTGTGTGTTTTTGGGGAAACTCCACTTAAGCTAACGACGTATTCATTTATCAGAAGAAAATTTTTCGAATTACCTTAAATATCAAACCAAGTCAAACGTGTAGAGATAGATTGAGGGAACGTAAAGTATTAACACTACCACAGATTAAAATACTCACTACCAAGTTAGGTATACATATGTATATGAAGTTAGTAAATTTATAATACCGTAACTCTAAAAGTATAGACAGAAGTGATGTTCACCAACACAACGTAAGAACTGGAAACCGCTATAGAGTCCCCTACAGAAAAACCAGAATAGGTCAAGGGTCACCTTCAACCATAGGGGTAAAAATATTATATCACCTGTCCGAGCATATCACAGTATGCTAAACCGCTCAATCATTGAATTACCATTTATTTAAATTCTTAGCCGAGCGCACCTTTTATAGTTTAAATTTTTTAAATACTCAAAATTGTTAATGTGCTTGTTCTGTAATTTTGTGTTTGACGTATTCTACATAAGGTAACTTATCTGTGAATTAAAAAAATTATTATTATTATTATCAGACAGCCAGATAAAATACAAAGTGATAAGGAATTAACAAAAATTGATGCAATTTCTGCGGTGGCGCGGGAATGTGCATAATGTTTAAAACATCAACATCAGCCACTCGTTTGGCAATAAACTTGAAAAATTATTAGAAAACCAACTAACACTCTGTAAAAGAATTCTACATGAGCAAATATTCTAGGCGCGAATTGTGCTGGAAGCGAATTGTCCGGGAGCGAATTATCTTGGCGCGAATTGTCCGCACACCTTTTTAGCCAAGTTCTAAGATACCATTGTTTGGGGCAACTACTGTAATATAACTTCAGGCGAATAAATTTATTAGTGTATGGCTATTTCCTTAGCTGAGGTGCGTGATACCGATACCAGGCTCGGCTATTCGTATAATCAGCCCATATACCTAACACATTATATTATAATTAAATGACTATAAAGAATTTACCTTATTGTTAGTGATGTCGGAGGCACATTTTTCTCATCTTTTATTATTGTATCGGCCGTTTAAAAAAATACGCGGCAGCGGCACTAAGGCCGATCTTAGCTTTAAAAGTATGCACTTCTTGAGGGGTGAATTTGACATCATTTAAATTCAAGTTGATAGGTACTATTTCCATCGAAGAACGATATCTATGTCCTTTGATTGACGATTACGGTATTCAGCTCACAGAGAGGGATTGCAGGGTAGCAGGTGACAGACAAACCTGGGTTAGATCTGTTTTTTTAATTAAAATTTAAACAGTTTTGCCATTTTGTTTGAAAGTCTCAAATTTCGCCTAAATCTTCAATTTAATTGAATTTCACGACCGGCGTAATATTAAAACTAATTATGAAAAATGTAGTCCAATTTCCATTCTTCTTACATTTTCCACCAAATGCATGTGAATGTGATTTCCGTAAGAAACCATAATGTCCTTTTACACTGAATTATTGTCCATGACACATGACTCTCATATAACATTAGATATTTTATTCTCATTTGTAAAAATTGTTTACAGACTAGTACTTGGCTTGGTCAAACTAACATGAAAAATGGCAGGTATATCTGAACACTTGTTTCACTTTTTCTACGATATGCGCTCGCAAACCTTTACTTCTATTATTGAATTTAGAATCAGCTCCACCACAACCACCTTATAAAGCTCTTCACACTGACGACGTAAACTCCAAAAACCCTGAACCAAAGCGCGAGTGAAAACCCAAACAAACCAACGTGAGTTCAAACTTCAAAACGTCAAATAACTATAATCAAAAACTCAATAATCGCAATGAATCAAATACCGTGAATGTTGAGAGAAATCCCAATAATCTTTTATAAGCACGCCTTATCGCGATCCACCTCCACATTTCGTGAGACGCGTAACTTAAAACATTCGTATTAAACGTATCACATTATTCTCTTATTGAACCTGTTAACTTTTATCACACTTGTCCATTTTACACAAAACCTTAAAAGATTTTAATAAAATGAATAATAAATAAATAAAACCATTATTTGGCATATCCATTCAAATTTCGGATATAGCAACGATCAATAGATATGTAGAGATCGCGATTAAACTGTTTGAGCTTTGATCTGTGGTATCAACGTTTATTTGCAAAAAGAGACGTTTTTTGTGACATCTGCAAAACTCAGGCTAATTTCCTCAGAACAATTACTGAACGTCCATTATTATAGTAATAATAATATCATATTATACAGAGTTGCCACACATTTGATGTTTATAGCGACTGGTGTTTCAAATAAGAACTCGTTTAAATATAGCAAACAATGATTTTTTACTTAATGGTGTTCTAAGTAATGATTTTGGAGTATTAGTACCTAATTAATTTTTTATGCTCTACAGGTCACCATCAACTCATAAAATGTCGCCATGGGTACGAAAACTCTTTCTACAGTTTATGCCACGTTTATTAATTATGCGAAGAACCACATACGTCTTACCAGAATACAACGATAACGTACCACCAAGGGGCTTTAGTGCGACCGATATGGATATACAGTATGTAAACAAGTAGTTCCAATGTTCTATGGTTATGATAGAGCCATTGGTAAATGTTTGAAACATACTAATGGGTTTTCATTTTTATTGTAGATTAAATATGGGCGAACCTTTTACTACGGATTTTAAAATAAGTACGAGTGATCCAAGTTTTTTACTCCCAGACCACGATGATGGGAAAATGAAGGCTCATTCGTCAAGTAATGATATTTCCTATTCAACTCAACATCTACTTAAGTTAGTGTTTTAGTGACTGATACATCGAACGGTACGCCCAAAACCTTATCAGCAGGTGTACTTTCAGCTTTACAGGGAGTTCGATTTATTGCTCAACATATCCGAGATGCCGATAAAGACAATGAGGTAGGTATAGGCACAAATATACGTAAAGAAGTATAGGTATCAACTATTAATACATTTCCTACAATTTAAATTACTGCAGGTCGTCGAGGATTGGAAATTCGTGTCAATGGTGCTGGATAGGTTTTTCTTATGGTTGTACACTCTTGCTTGTATTGGCGGTACAGCAGGAATTATAATGCAGGCTCCCTCACTGTATGATACTCGCACACCTGTTGATCAAGAACTAAGCGAAATTACTATGGATAAAATCTTCCAGAAATTACCACCCTCACATGTTCCTATGGTTTAATTTAGTTACAAACCTTTTATATAATTCGACTACATAGGTACACTGTTGATTTGTTGTTAATGCTGTTGTAACACATTTGGTTGAACTATTAAATAACTGTTAAACCAGACATTCTGTTTGATTTTATTTCTGGTGTTTTGAGAAGAACTTTCCAAGATCCACAAAGAAACCCCCTTTTTAAAAAAAAACCTAGAATTGCGCAATACACTATTAGGCCAATAGTGTTTATTTAAAGCAGTCTATTCAAAGCTAGTGATGCTGGAAAATGCTCTAAAAATCGATGTTGCAATATATTAAGGTATAGTTAAGCGCACATTTAAAAAAATGCATAAGCACGCGCAAGATTTCTGATTCCATTTTAGCATTCAATAATAGTATATTAAGATACAAGTGTATAATCAAGTCTTTAAAGCACGCGCAACGAGTTTAAGGGCACGACGCAAAGCGGAGTGCTTTTAACGTTGCAAGTGCTTTAAAGACCAATTATACACGTGTATCTTATAGTATTTTTTATTATACCTGCAGTATAATTCAAAAATAGGAAATTCAATGACATCATATTGACGTTATACTCGAATACATGTCTAATTAAGTGGGCTGGGTGTTCGTAATTTCACGATTGCCATGGAAATGTCACTTGATGTTTGCTTATAAAAATCGTCGTCTTTGTGAATAAAACGATTTCCGTTGAAAAAGATAATACACCGTCCATTAAATCGCTTGTTGTAAAATCTAAACAAACGTTGGTAGGTGTAAAATCTCAATCCAGTAAAGCCTATTATCAAGCATATGAAAAGTTGTTTCCATGGAAGAATGGGAAGTTACTTACGAATAAAGTCTTAGATGCATCGATAATGCTGGCATATATGAAGGAAATGTCAAAGGTATTTAAATCTTCTATCTTTTGGTGCATTCATTCAAAACTTCACTTATTGCTGGGACTAAAAAGTGGAACAGATTTGGAAGCATACCCTAAATTACGCGCGTTTGTAAAAGCTTCAACCAAAAGATAGGTACAAGCCAAAGAAATGTTCTGCATTTACAGAAAGCGACCTAAGAGGATTTTTTATTTCAGCCTCAGATGACAGTTTCAAAAGTCATACTTGAAGTATCGTTACTTAGCAACTTTAAAGCACGTGTGTTTTAAAGGCCTTTTTTCGCACGCATTTGAGTGTTTAAAACGGAGATTGTGATTCAGGTATAATAAAATAGTTATTTATATAACAAGAGCGCGAAGTTCAATTTCGCGCATTGAGACTGAAGGTATTTTGACGAGGCGAAGTCGAGTTAAAATATCAGTCAAATGCGCGAAATAACTTCGCGCTAGCGTTATATACAATATTTTTTCTACAACTGAACCGATTGTTAATTAAATTTGCTGTTTAAGTTCAACTTTGTCACGTGCGCGAAATACTTTTTTTCACTGTTGACGATTTCGCGCACGTTGGCAAGGGCAACCTTACTTATTAATTAACCGTTTAAAAATCTAGTACTTCGCGCTTCGAAATTCGTCAGAAAATGACAGGTTTTTTGACAGTTGTAGAAAAAATAATTTATTTCATAAGTACGAAAAATGCGAGTAATCCCAGAGCCGAGTTATCCCAAAAGCGAGTAGTCCGGTGCAGAGTTGCGCAGAGCCGAGTCTTCCTGTACGGCTATTTTTATATTAATCCACAAGCTTTTAATGAATGCCTTTTAAAATACGCAAGGCGGCAAGAGGAACTACAACGAGTCTAGGATACGGGATAGTATCCAGTATTACTCGACCGCTTGGTATCCCATTTTACCCTACTACACATATATTTTTCAAAATTTTTACGAAAAAAAAATTGGTGGCTTACACACAATATCACAAAATACTGACAACTATTCACAGAATCATAAAAAATACTCACCGTTATTTAATTTGCTCGTTTAAGGTTAAAAATTCTTGACTAATCACTGATAAAACTAAATAATATAACCTTACTTTTAAAGATTTTCATTTGTCACCCACCACAGAATAACAATTAAACAGAATAACCACCTGGTACATTTAAACGAACGCCATTTGCATCAATTGACATGACCAGCTATCAGATAGCGCTGCTTAATAATGGCCAGTATTCCGTTTTATCCGACTATCCCGTTTTGCTCCTAAAAAGCAATTTCTCTCAGAAGCAAGTGTTTGAATGTGCGTATACACAGTATAAGAGATTATTTCCTTAGTTTGCCACCACTCTGCAAATCCTTGAAGTGTTAATTAAAGAAGACGTGCCTTCTTTTGACCGTACACGTTTTCCATCCATGTAGCACATCACTTGCACACCAACTTTCAACAAGATCGAAATAAATGTCAACTTCTTATACCGCTGTCAAGACTTATTTAGACGTGCAAGATTTTATTGCAGGAATTACTTGCCGGAAAGTTGTCGACTTGCCGGGCTAAGCTCTTCTATCGCCGTGTACATTATGAGAGTTAGTTATTGGGAACTGCTCTCCGACACAAATTTGTAATAGTTTTACTATTCCGTGTAAATTACACAACTCAGAGATACTTGACTCGATTGGGAAAACCATAGCCATAAATCATTAATATTTTATTTAAAAAATAATGAAGAACTAGAACATACAAGTTACAAAAATGTTGTTCCTATTTGCTGCACTATTGAGCATTGTAAAGAAAAGCAAGTATAAAAAATTAAATATATCCAAAAATTTTCCGCCTTTCCGCAGTTTTGCTGGCAAATTCTTTCAATATATCCTCTACTTCTACACTTTTTGTAATTTCTGCATGCACATTCGGCTCTGGGACTACTCGGCTCTGGGATTAATCGGCTCTAGGATAACTCGGCTCTGGGATTAATCGGCTCTAGGATAACTCGGCTCTAGGATAACTCGGCTCTGGGACTACTCGGCTCTGGGATTACTCGGCTCTAGGATAACTCGGCTCTGGGACTAACGCCCCCCGGTGAGTTACTTAGCTAATTGGCGAGGATCGCGGTTCAGCGGTCGCGGTATTTGTTTACATGACCCTTGAGCGCAGAAGAGGACCAGCTATGCCAACCCTTATGCGTAGATTACAGAAGGACGTTCTTAAAGAAAGCTGAGTTTACAGTAGATTTGTCGCATCTCAATAATGAGTTCTGACCAACAATTAGGACCCATTTAATTAATGATTTCCCTTGTTGTTCTTTAAAAATACCCTCACTGTATAATTTTGTTTTATTTTAATTTTATTTTTATTTTTGTTTGTTTTATTTTTATTTTAATTTTATTTACATTTTATTTTTATTTTAATTTTATTTACATTTTATTTTTATTTTCATTTTATTTCTTTTATTTTATCTTTATTTTCTTCAATTTTATTATTTTATTTTATTTTTATTTTTGTTTATTTTATTTTTATTTTATTTTCATTTTATATTTATTTTCTTTATTTTATTTTTTCTTGTTTTTCTTTTTTTCTTTTTATTTTATTCAATTTTTATTTTTATTTTGGTTTTATTTTATTTTTATTTTATTAATTTTTTTTATTTTAATTTAATTTTAGTTTATTTTTATTTTTACTTTATTTTTATTTTATTTTAATTTAATTTTAGTTTTTTTTCCTTTTTCTATTTTTATTTTATTTATAATAATAATATAATAATAATATGATATATTGTGCTACTGTGTGTTTACACTTACACTTGTCGTACATAATTGTAAACTAACACAAAAACATTTAGGTTTACATTCATAGAATAAAAAGAAACTAAAGACATTTACAGTTATTCACAAACTCATCAAACGTATAAAAAGCTTTCGACAATAAAAAAAAGTCCTAATTTTGTTTTTAAACTTGGGCAACGGTAATTGTTTTATGTGTGGGGGCAAACAGTTATATAAAAATTTCGACTGGTACAAAATACCATCTTGCGATTTGCGTAGCCTACAAAATTCAGCGCGTATGTGATTTTTGTTCCTAGTGTCATGTTGGTGTATTTCATGTTGCAGTATGTTCTGAGATTTAATACGTTTAGTATAACTGTGTTATATTATGGTATAACATACGGCTTCTAAAATATAAATGCACGGGACAGTCAGGATTTGTAGTTTAACAAACGTTTTTTGGCAATCTTCTCTATATCCAATGCCTCCTATTAGTAATCTAAAAATACACCGCCAGTGGGAACTGTGGCCCCAAGTAAGGATTGCGTAGGAAATGATGTTTTGAACAAAAGCGTAGTAAGCAGATCGAATTGTATTTAGGGAAGTAATGCTTCGTAGTCGATTTAATAGAAATATTGACCTGTGCAACTTTTTTGTTAAGGTAGCGGTAGGTATTCGGATTTCGTCGGCCGTCCGCCTCTACGTGTGTATTGAAAAGCGATCGTCCGGCCGTGGACTGACAGGCCATGGCCGGCCGCGTATTGGCATTCTGTACTATTATTCAGAGCAGCTCTGGTCTGATTCGCAGTATACTATGGCTTCACGTTAAGAGCAATTTGATAATACATTATATACTGCGATTCAGAGCACCGATATGGTTTACACTTTAGAGTTCTATAAAGCGCGTGGGCCTGAGTCAAATTATACTGCGATATAGCAAATTTATACTGTGATTCAGAAAGAACGTCAGATCGCGCGGGAGAAAATTTTGGTTTTTGATTGTCATACACTTACAAGATGTATGTTTTTATTGTTACCTTTGCAAGAAAAGTATATTTTTTGTTGTTTGTGTGTAATCAAGGTTCTCAAACTGCACTAAAATCGAGACTAGAATGATCTATAAAGAGGTATTGGTTCAAATGTGTAACGAGAATACGTTTTCAATAATCGAATATTTGGAACTAGTAGAACAGGGATTTAAAGCGAAAAAAAAACGGGTGAAGATATTAACAGTGTTTGGTGTGACAAGTGGTTAGCTGATTTTAGTAATAAAACAAACACTAAACCATATCGGTGCTCTGAATCGCAGTATATAATGTATTATCAAATTGCGCATAACGTGAAGCCATAGTATACTGTGAATCAGACCAGAGCTGCTCTGAATAATAGTACAGAATGCCAATACGCTGGCCGGCCGGCAAACTGAACGTGAGTACCTACCATTAGACTTCTGCACTGATGGTTGAAATCTAGTTT